CTTATTAAATGGCCTTCTTTATGTACCCTAGATATGTTACCTTATCAGAGGGTCCTGTTCATATGTTGATCTGACATTCTGATAAACAACTAAGCTGGTGTGTTTTTTCAATAACTCAATAACTTGTGTTTTCTGTACAGTTTAAAACAAAGGTCTTGGCTACATATCTCTCCTGAGTTGTATTACAGCACACTACTGTCATCGAGAATCATTTAGCGGTTCATAATATCTCAGAGCTGGTTCAGCATAGTGTAAACTGTAAACTTGTATATAACGTATCACATCCAAGAATTCATTTCAGATGTGTCTCAAGGCTAATGCTTTGAAAACAAAAACAAGTGTGCTTTAAACTAACGTGTACCACGTTTTGTGATATGTTTCTTGAGAATAATTTGCATTTTGTTAGTATTAGAAGCACGTTTTACAGTTCAAATAACACTGTTATATTTTCATTGTCATACTGAGTACATTATTTTTCTCATTTCTTGGACAACTGTTTTTTTGTCAGTATCTTGAAATCCAAGTGGAAGAGAATCCTTCTTTTTTCATTTATATTCAACAATAATTGAGAAATCCTTCTTATTGCATTATGTCAAATTATTTTTTCCATTTGAACAAATAGAGAAAAATAACTACACAGCAATCCGTCATTTTGCACAATCTTTATTACGAATAATTTAGGCATGTGGAGGGTCATGTAGTCCTCTGTCTGAAGATTTGAAATAATACAGTGAAATAATCTTTAGCATTGGTTCCATGGGTTACAGTAGCTTTAATTACAGAATAAAGAAACAAAGAAAGTACAAATTTGTTACATTTCTCATCAGCATTGTTACTAGCAGCCGTAGAACGTCTTGATCCTTATGATGTCCCAGTTGGACAGGCCGTTAATCTGGCCAATCGGGACGTTGGGGTCGGGGATGGGGATCATGGTTTCCTTCCCATTCATGGAGAAGGCTGTTTTCCCATAGTGCATGATGGAGGAGTAGTCGTAGGGAGTATTCAGGTTGTTGGCGGCCTGCATGGCGAAGTTGTAGGCATTCTGCGGGTCGATGTTCTCCCAGTTGATATTGACGTAGGAGTCGCGGTCGGTCCTGGTATGTTCATGCTGGAAGCCCAGAGCGTGGTTGGCCTCGTGCTGAATGATGCCGTAGTAGAGGCAGTTCGGCCTTTTGAGAGAGAGCACCTGTGCGCCTCCCACTCTGCCCACAGAGGAGAAACATCCGGCTTGGTTCTCGATGCTGATGTAGTCGGCCTCATTCTGACGGGGGACAAAGCGAATGCAGGTTTTGGCCTGGAAGCCTTTCAGCGCAGAGTTGATCAGCTGCTTCTCCGAGCTGGTGAAGTCACTGCTCACGGTATAGGGGACCATCACCAAGCCGTTGGCAGCTTTCTTCCAGCGGCAGCTCTGGGACGAGCATATCATGGCACTTCTGGTTGTGGGAGCCAGAATGTCTCCTTCCAGCAGGATCTCGTTGGTGGCGCTGTTGGAGGTCAGAATCCTGGTGGTCATGTCGACGGTATCTGGGACATCTTCTTTGCTTCCTTCCTCCTGGACAGGATATGCCTGAGAGAAGCCGAGCAGGAGCAGCAGCAGCAGGCTGGCAGAGGGAGTCATCTTCAGGGTCGGTCTGGAGGCTGTGAAGAGCTGCTGTGGAGAGATTCGTTGAAGCTTGATGTCTGACTTTGTTCAGTCCAGGGTCTTTATACTCTCCTCTATAGGTGTGTCTGCAGGAGGATTATGGGTTGGGGTCCTCACTGCTAGGCCTAAATAAACCTCAGAGGGGAGGACTCCACAGACAAACCTACTTCTTAAACAGGGTTTGTTATCTCTGGTTATAAGATGGATGAACACAGCTTCACTATGTGGTTAAATAGGTTGCATTTGTTAAGCTACACACTTTATATGGTCTTCAACCAGACATAGTCCACATTAGAGTATCTTTGTTAAAACAACCTTAATTTAAGCAGAGTAATATGTGTTTCTCTTGAAATCCCTCCCTAATATTTGCTCCATAGAAGGTATTTGTTCGTTAATTAAAAAGTAGGGAGGTAAACAAATACAAATACATTGTTCGGATAGGAACTGATAAATCGCTCTGAACGCGTATGAACAGCATCTGAATATTAGCTGAAATATTTGCTCCCCCTCACAGATCTGTCACTGGATTGACACAATTTCCTGAATACCAATTATTCACAAGGTCAATTAGGTATGGGGATTGTTAATTTTTGTCGATATTGATGCCCTTATTGAGACTGCTTAATGATCTGAATCTTTATCGATACCACTATCGATACTTTACTACTATTTGGTGACGGTTATTTGGTAAGACCAGCCCCAACGGGCATGAGGTTGGCCTGCACGGTAGGAGGAACATATTCAATGTGTGATAACATTGTTATATATTGAGATGACTTATGACTTGCAATAAATAAACATATATTCAAATGTGCATATTAGCTGCCTGTTTGTTTTAAAATTATTTATAGGATTAGAATTTAACATTTTAAATACAGCTAAATGTTGTTTCTGGAGCAGCAACATTAATGTTTACAACAGCAAAGTCACTATATATAAACTCAATATCTGACATCAAAATAGTGAGAGACGTTTAGAGAGAATAAAAACCTCATTCTGTTTCATTCCACCTCTTCCTCCCCTCTGCTGTTATTCATTTCCTCCAGGTAACGTTACCTGGTAGAAGGAGGAGCGGCTATACAGTATGTTTGTATACTGTTGTGTATATGTTGGTAAGTCACTTATGATTGACTTAAAAAAAAAAAGGAGGAGTGGATGGTTTGTCTCAGCCAGCAGCTGAGTTTACAACAATGTGCCAGATTGTAATACTACAGACCAGTCTATGCTACAGACAGACAGCTTTCTATTTAGCTTGTTTGTAACATTTGGCTAATTGCCAAGCTAGCGTTACCTATGCTTGAAAACATACAGGACGACAGACTGAGGACAGAGATGAAATTAACCCTTTCTACATTTTTACCTTACACACGTGTATTGATAAAGTATTGTCTTTTTACTCGCGAAGGTTTTATTGCACTAGCTGTCGGCAACTCGAGTATTTTGGAGCTAACTTAACTTCACAGTCTACACAGCTGCTGGCCACTGTGTGTGTATGTGTGTGTGTGTGTGTGTGAGCCGACAGAGAGCAGTAGAGGCTGCAGCCTGAGAATAAACAGTCCTGGGCCCGTTTCGGTATCATTAGAAACATTAGTTTTCTTCTCCATCGTGTTTCAAGATAGGATTCGATGCTCGAGACATAACGTTACAGACCTGCTAGTCTCGAAAGCATTTGGATTTTAGGGTTTTGAGAAATGTTGGAACCGAGTGAGTCTTTTTAGAACCTGGTCTCGATCCCCATCCCTAGTCATAATTCAGGCTAATCAAAACCACACAGATATCACACACACACACACACACACACACACACACACACACACTGCTACAACCAAGAGAAGTGATGTCAATCGATCTAAACGTCCATATCTCAGCTGACAATTTAAAAATAAGGTGCTCTTCACAACTTCAGCTCTTGCCTCATGTTTACTAAGAAACAATCATAATGTAGTATGTTAACATAACATTTGTTAATTAGCATTAATCACAAAGTACAGGTGAGGCTGATGGGAATGCCATTAGGTTTGGAGATATTTGGGCATACACCAAAGTATTACACTAATAAAAATGTTGACCTGATGGTGGCGTTAGATGAGAAGTCAGGGGAACACCAAAGTTATGACAGTTCATCCTGAGGGGGATGTGAATGTGTGTACCACATTTCATGGCAATCCATCCGATCTTTTTTGAGACATTTCACTCAAAACCATAAATGTTGACCTCATGGTGGCTCTAGAGGAAGTATCAGGGGATCACCAAAGTCAGCATGATTCATCTTCTTGCGACCATGAATGTCTGCACAAAATTTTGTGCCAATCCATCATATAGATGTTTAGATATTTTACAGGATAAAGGAAAGCTTTGGCCGGCTGGTGGAGCTACAGAAAAGGTCAAGGCATCACCACAGTCATTAGAGTTCATTCTCTCAGATACCATGAATGTCTGCACAAGGTTTCATGGCATCCATCTAATTGTTGTTGAGACAGCTCAGTCTGGATCAAAGTGGTGGACCGACTGATAGACCAACGTTGTCATTCCTAGAGACACGCTGCTTGCATAGCTGACAAATCCAGAAGGCCACATAACAACACTTACTGCTGTTCTGTAGCAACAGAAACCTCCAAAGGTCTTCTGACCCTCTGGATGAACATAAAAGTCTGGTTGCTGCAAGAAAACAAATCAGTTTAATTGTTGTGAAAAATCTTATTCTTAGCTCTGTGACTCAAATATGGTTATACATGAAATAAACAAACTTTAGATAACATTCAATGAGGTTCATTCTCAATAACTTTACATCAGTTTCACCAGATTTGCACGATAAAGCTTGACTGGTGTCACGCAGATGTTCATTTTACCTCATGAGCTGATTCTCAACCACACACACTGTGTGATTTCACAGTAGACGGGAAAATGACGAGCTGAAGTTAAGAACTGTCTCAAAAGTGCACGCATAATTGCCAAGAGAGCTTTTCAGATTTTCTCGAGCACTATCTATTTTTTTTGACACTTCAGATTCATCAAGATATTACGAGAAGATGTATTGTACACAAACCTGATTATTTTTATCATAGTTTCAGATACAGAAATAGTAGTTTTGCTTTACCACAATCAATAATCCAATTATATGGAAGATTTTATTTATGCTAATGTGTGCATTATGCCAAATTATGTTTTGCAGGCAAAGAAATGGAGAAAAATAACTAGACAGCAATCGGTCAGTTTGCACAATCTTTATTACAGATAATTTTGCCGTGTGGAAGGTCATGTAGTCCTCTGTCTGAACATTTGAAATAATATAGTGAAAGAATCTTTAGCATTGTTTCCATGGCTAACAGTAGCTTTAATTACAGAAAAAAGAAACAGTGAAAGTAGGAATTTGTTGCATTTCTCATCAGCATTTTTATGAGCAACCGTAAAACGTCTTGATCCTTATGATGTCCCAGTTGGACAGGCCTTTCATTTGTCCAATCGGGACGTTGGGGTCGGGGATGGGGGTGATGGTGTCCTTTCCCTTCTGGATGGAGAAAGCTGTTTTCCCATAGTGCATGATGGAGGAGTAGTCATAGGGAGTATTCAGGTTGTTGGCGGCCTGCATTTTGAAGTTGTTAGCTTTCTGCGGGTCGATGTTCTCCCAGGTGATTGTGACGTAGGAGTCGCGGTCAGTTCTGGTATGTTCGTGCAGGAAGCCCAGAGCGTGGTTGGCCTCGTGCTGGATGATGCCATAGTAGAGGCAGCTCTGCCTATTGAGAGAGAGCACCTGTGCGCCTCCCACTCTGCCCACCAATGAGAAACATCCAGCTTTGTTCTCAATGCGGATGTAGTCGGTCTCATTCTGACGGGGGACAAAACGAATGCAGGTTTTGGCCTGGAAGCCGTTCAGGGCAAATTCAATCCGCTGCTTTTCCAAGCTGGTGAAGTCACTGCTCACGGTATAGGGGACCATCACCAAGCCATTGGCAGCTTTCTTCCACAGGCATTTCTGGGACGAGCATATCATGGCGCTTTTGGTTGTGGGAGCCAGAATGTCTCCTTCCAGCAGGATCTCGTTGGTGGCGCTGTTGGAGGTCAGAATCCTGGTGGTCATGTCGACGGTATCTGGGACATCTTCTTTGCTTCCTTCCTCCTGGACAGGATATGCCTGAGAGAAGCCGAGCAGGAGCAGCAGCAGCAGGCTGGCAGAGGGAGTCATCTTCAGGGTCGGTCTGGAGGCTGTGAAGAGCTGCTGTGGAGAGACTCCTTGAAGCTTGATGTCTGACTTTGTTCAGACCAGGGTCTTTATACTCTCCTCTACAGGTGTGTCTGCAGGAGGATTATGAGTTGGGGTCCTCACTGCTAGGCCTAAATAAACCTCAGAGGGGAGGACTCCACAGACAAACCTACTTCTTAAACAGGGTTTATTATCTCTGGTTATTAGATGGATGAACACAGCTTCACTATGTGGTTAAATAGGTTGCATTTGTTAAGCTACACACTTTATATGGTCTTCAACCAGACATAGTCCACATTAGAGTATCTTTGTTAAACCAACCTTAATTTAAGCAGAGTAACATATGTCTCTTGAAATGCCTCACTGATATTTGCTCCATAGAAGGTATGTAGCTGAAATATTTGTTCCCCCTCACAGATCTGTCACTGGATAGACACAATTTCTTGCAACTATTGTACCAATTATTCTCAGGGTCATAAGTCAGGTAAATCAAAACCACACAGATATCACACACACTCTGCTACAACCAAGAGAAGTGAGGTCAATCCAGCTAAACGTCCAATATAAAAATAAGGTGCTCTTTACAACTTCAGCTCTTGCCTCATGAGTCACAAAGTACAGGTGAGGCTGATGGGAATGCCATTAGGTTTGGAGATATTTGGGCATACACCAAAGTATTACACTAATAAAAATGTTGACCTGATGGTGGCGTTAGATGAGAAGTCAGGGGAACACCAAAGTTATGACAGTTCATCCTGAGGGGGATGTGAATGTGTGTACCACATTTCATGGCAAGCCATCCAATCTTTTTTGAGACATGTCACTCAAAACCATAAATGTTGACCTCATGGTGGCTCTAGAGGAAGTATCAGGGGATCACCAAAGTCAGCATGATTCATCTTCTTGCGACCATGAATGTCTGCACAAAATTTTGTGCCAATCCATCATATAGATGTTTAGATATTTTACAGGATAAAGGAAAGCTTTGGCCGGCTGGTGGAGCTACAGAAAAGGTCAAGGCATCACCACAGTCATTAGAGTTCATTCTCTCAGATACCATGAATGTCTGCACAAGGTTTCATGGCATCCATCTAATTGTTGTTGAGACATTTCAGTCTGGATCAAAGTGGTGGACCGACTGATAGACCAACATTGCCATTCCTAGAGACACGCTGCTTGCATAGCTGACAAATCCAGAAGGCCACATAACAACACTTACTGCTGTTCTGTAGCAACAGAAACCTCCAAAAGTCTTCTGACCCTCTGGATGAACATAAAAGTCTGGTTGCTGCAAGAAAACAAATCAGTTTAATTGTTGTGAAAAATCTCATTCTTAGCTCTGTGACTCAAATATGGTTAAATAGGAGAGGATCAAGGACTTTGGTAACATTCAGTGAGATTCATTCTCAATAACGTTTTAACCAGATTTGTTGTTCAGTGCCGGATAAAGCTTTACTGGTGTTACACGTGTTTATTTTACCTCCTAAGCTGATACTGAAGCCCGACAATGTGTGATTATTACAGTAGACGGGAAAACGATGAGCTGAAGTTATGAACGGTCTCAAAAGTGCATATTTTCCACGAGAACTTTTCAGATTTTCTCAATCACTATGTCTTTTTTATACACACGCCAAGCCAACTTTATTTTCACCTCAGTTTCAGATACAGAAATAGTAACTTTGTTTTACCTTAATTAAATAATCCTTTGTAGCTAGATTTCAATTAAACCATCCAAAAAATAAAAAATAATTAAAATGCCTTCTTTATGTACCCTAGATATGTTACCTTATTAGAGGGTCCTGTTCATATGTTGATCTGACATTCTGATAAATAACTAAGCTGGTGTGTTTTTTCAATAACTCAATAACTTGTGTTTTCTGTACAGTTTAAAACAAAGGTCTTGGCTACATATCCCGTGAGTTGTATTACAGCACACTACTTTCATCAAGAATCATTTAGCGGTTCATAATATCTCAGAGCTGGTTCAGCATAGTGTAAACTGTAAACTTGTATATAACGTATCACATCCAAGAATTCATTTCAGATGTGTCTCAAGGCTAATGCTTTGAAAACAAAAACAAGTGTGCTTTAAACTAACTTGTTACCACGTTTTGTGATATCTTTCTTGAGAATAATTTGAATTTTGTTACTATTTTGAGCATTATGTTTTACAAGGCAAATAACACTGTTATATTTTCATACTGAGTACATTTTTTGATCTGGACTATTTTTTCTCATTTCTTGGACAACTGTTTTTTTGTCAGTATCATGAAATCCAAGTGGAAGAGAATCCTTCTTTTTCTTAAATATTCAACAATCATTGAGAAATCCTTCTCATTGCTCTTTGATTACATGTTTGTACTAATGTGTGCATTATGCCAAATTATTTTTTGCAGGTGAACAAATAGAGAAATATAACTACACAGCAATCCGTCATTTTGCACAATCTTTATTACAAATAATTTAGGCATGTGGAGGGTCATGTAGTCCTCTGTCTGAAGATTTGAAATAATACAGTGAAGTAATCTTTAGCATTGGTTTCATGGGTTACAGTAGCTTTAATTACAGAATAAAGAAACAAAGAAAGTACAAATTTGTTACATTTCTCATCAGCATTGTTACTAGCAGCCGTAGAACGTCTTGATCCTTATGATGTCCCAGTTGGACAGGCCGTTAATCTGGCCAATCGGGACGTTGGGGTCGGGGATGGGGATCATGGTTTCCTTCCCATTCATGGAGAAGGCTGTTTTCCCATAGTGCATGATGGAGGAGTAGTCGTAGGGAGTATTCAGGTTGTTGGCGGCCTGCATGTTGAAGTTGTAAGCCATCTGCGGGTCGATGTTCTCCCAGTTGATATTGACGTAGGAGTCGCGGTCGGTCCTGGTATGTTCGTGCTGGAAACCCAGAGCGTGGTTGGCCTCGTGCTGGATGATGCCGTAGTAGAGGCAGTTCGGCCTTTTGAGAGAGAGCACCTGTGCGCCTCCCACTCTGCCCACAGAGGAGAAACATCCGGCTTGGTTCTCGATGCTGATGTAGTCGGCCTCATTCTGACGGGGGACAAAACGAATGCAGGTTTTGGCCTGGAAGCCGTTCAACGCAGAGTTGATCAGCTGCTTCTCCGAGCTGGTGAAGTCACTGCTCACGGTATAGGGGACCATCACCAATCCGTTGGC